TTAATAGTCTATATTGCCCTACTAAAACTGCTATGCAAATTACTTTGCTTACATTTCAATTTTTATCTCGTTTAATGAACAATATAGCCGAATTAAATGTATGTACTATAAAAAAGATTAAAAAATATTGGGAAACAATTATAATTTTTTTATAAAAAAAAAACGGACTCACAAGTTTGCTTATAGGCTTTTTTATTAGAATCAGTTAACGGGAAGTGCGCGAAACCGGATTCATTTCCTACTTTGCCACGCTTACAGGTGGAATATTTTCTTAAGATTTCAATAATAATAACGCACACGCTAAACATAGCCCCGCAGTAGGGAAACCCTGTGTCGCAGATGCCATGGACATACACATAGACAACCACAAATTACACCCAAACTCACGAGAGAAATAAATGTAAGCCATACAAACATTTCTCCCGGCCCGGGAATCGAACCTGGGACCTCTGCGTGGCAGTCCTACATGGTAACCGTTCGGTCACAGAGGCAGTTAATGGGACCAATATTGACCGAAAGTGACAATACTATGCACTCACCACGGATACCGTCGTGAAAGGATACGCAGCAGAACAGGCGCACCTTGGCTCCGACGATGGCGATCAATATACAAGTTCAAATTCAAATTCAAATTCAAAATAATCTTTATTTCATAGGTAAGCATTATTACACTTGAAATCGTCACAATATTAAACTCTACCGCTCATTCGTAAGGCAGATTCCCCTGAGAAGAATGAGCAAGAAACTCTAGGGGTTGCTCTTTGTAAATAACATTTACAATTTTTTTCTTATTTGAAACATCACATTGAGACTACCTCCATGAGCTAAACGGGTTACTACCACGGATTTTTGTCATCCAAGTACGCAGAAGTTGTATAATAATAACCTTTAGTATAAAGTTTTTGTTTCACTATAGTTTTAAACCTCGTGAAAGGCAAATTTTGTATATCAACCGGAATCTTGTTATAGAAGCGTATACATTGCCCCTTAAATGATTTTTTGACTTTGAATGTATAATTTGAAGTAATAAATCTATAGGCCAAGGAGAGCTTCGCACAGTGCTGCAGTCGTTCAACCAATGATATTGTTACGTAAAAGTTCCGTTGTTAATCATAGGAAATATTTCTAGATTTCTCTTTTATAGTAACAATAGCTTACTGTAATTGTCACTAGAGGGAGAATATGTATGTAGGTATGTTTGTACCCGTGGCTGCGTCCACCACTTATTTTGCTTTGGGGTAATGCCGCCGATATCAATAGAATCTTTGTTAGGGCAATTTACAATCTGAGCCCCAGAGTATCTTTGAGAGATAAGTTTAAGGAAATTAATATTCTTACACTAGCGTCACAGTACATCTATGAAAATGCAATTTATCTTAAGTAATCTATTTATGAAAAAAAGTGACAGACATGACATTAGGCAATAAATACGAGGAATAAAAATAAACTAGCTGTTCTTGATAGTCGTCTTGGGATTAGCTCTGGACCTTTTGGAGGGAAAAGTGTCGTTTTTATTTTGACTTTCAATTATTTTGTGAAATCTAGTTTAAAGTGGAATAGGATAGTGCTATTATGCCTTAATCGAAGACTAAAACGCGAAATTATACGAATCTCGAACTAAAATACCCGTATCGGCCCGTTTTAAGGAATCCCGAGTCAATCCAAGCACGCCGCCTCAAATTGCCTATCCTCTATGTGGCGGCCATATTTACAGAAACATATTTAAACTTATTCTGCTAAGCGGAAAACTCGACACTGGCGAAATCTTAAAAAGAAGGAACCGCCATTGAGCAAAACGAAGTAGAAGAAGATAGTCGTCTTCACAAAGTCAAAAATTCATTCAAGGGGCTATGTATACGCTTGTGTAACAAGATTCCGGTTGATATACAAAATTTGCCTTTCACGAGGTCTAAAACTATAGTGAAACAAAAATTTTGTACTAAAGTGTTTAATACAACTTCTGCGTATTTGGATGACAAATCCGCTTAGCTTATGGAGGTTGAAAGAAAAAAAAATATATATAGTAAATGTTGAATGGGTACAAATGTTATTTACAAAGAGCAACCCTTAGGGTTTCTTGCTCATTCTTCTCAGGGGAATCTGCCTTACGAATGAGCGGTAGAATTTAACCATTGTGACGATTTCAAGTGTAATAATGCTTACCTATGAAATAAAGATTATAATTTTTTATTGAATTGATATTCAATTATTTTTCGTGAAATAACTCCACTAGTTTGTTATAATTATTAATACAAAGATTGAACACTCGGAAAAAATTCCTTCGATCCGGCCGAATTCGAACCGACGTCTTCTAGCTTACCGTGTCAGACGCTATACCAACTAAGCTACGGAACAAACCAGCGGACCTCACGAATTTTTCTATGTGCTTGCGTCATGTCCTTAGGTCTACAGACGCTTCCCTGTAGGCTGATACTCCAGATAGCCTTGTATGCACGTAACCACTTGTATCAGTTCGCACAGAGATGCGACAATGAGCAGATCTACACCGGCTGGAGTAGGCGACGCGGACCATTCATGCAATGAGCCGTCGCGTATACAATCACCTACCATTCAATACATTTGTTTAGTTAATATTCTCATTGACATTTAATGTACTAAATTGACATATAATGGAAATTATGAATAAATGATTATGATGGCTAGCCCCTGACAAGGGACTGCTCTTAACTTTTAACAGAATACCAAGCCTACAAAATCCTGCCATTGACACAATCCACACACATCTGAGATGATTTAAAATTAGCAGACAGGCCATCCGATTGCGAGCTATGACACCAAAGGCAGAAATACATATTATTCAAATGAACGACAAACTACGAAACGGTTGTTGCGGCCCGCGGCGCCTGGGACACATCTTTTAACTGTCAAAATTAATCCTCTCTTTGACATGTTATCTCACTTCCGCAACTGTCAAGTTATAGGCTAGATTAAGTTGTTAATAGTTGAGTAAGTGGTCTCTACTTAAGTCGGATGTAATACAAGATCGTTGTCTCGTTGTTGAAGAAATATTTTTATTTATTTATTAGTTCGCTTGTGGTTATTACAATATTAGAAATAAAAAATGGACAGTCACAAAGAAAGGCAGGGAGATATTTGAGTCATTTGAAATGTGGCGCTGGTATAGTTATGTAACTTGACAAAACAAATATTTTTTTCGCACATTTGAAAGAAAAAACATGGAAATAAACACAGTACGCTCGTTTATTTCTAAACAAGATTGTTTTTTCAGAAAAATTAAATTAAAATATCTGAAATGAACTAAGAAACTAACTGTGATTATTTCACTTAATTATAATGAAGAGTTCACTGCACTCAATTCAATAAAATTATAAACTAAACAATGATTGGGGATTTTTTTATTGAGGACTTTCCCGTCCATAGATATAAATGTCAGTGAGTGTTGTCCATTTATTTTGAACAATTTATATGTGAAAAATAATATTAACAAAAGAGACAGTGTAGTGCCAAACAACATCTAAATAAATGAGTGTGCCCCTGACATTATTATTTTCATACTTTTAGAAAAAATCTTACTCCAGAAAAAACTGCTTTTTCATGATTTTTTCTTTTGTTGGCACCTCAGAAAAAAGAACGGTTTTTTTACGACATTCGCTTCCAGTGATGTTGTAAAAAACCGTTTTTTCCAACATCGCCGGAAGCGAATGTCTCCATTCGCAGTAAAATGGACTGACAAGTTTTAAAAACGGTTAAGGAAGAGAGAAATCTTAGACGACAGAGAACAGACGGAGGAAAATGTATTCATATTTACTTTTCGAATCCATGGTGAAATTTAATTTGAAGTACTTGAGCTTTTCGTTCAAGAAAAAACATCGTGAGGAAACCCACACACATCTGCAAAGCAATTTAATGATGTGTGTGAAGTTTCCTATCCGTATTGGGCTAGAATTTGGCTTAAGTCTCTTTTTAAAGGATATTTCCAGCAGTAGGACGTAATGCCCGGAATACACGAGGCTAGTTTGTCAAGCCAGGACAGCTAGTAACTCTGGTTTTCGTATATATTTAACTAGCTTCTTTTCTAGGCTAGTAAGCTAGCGTCTCAAGCTTGGATAGTTCAAAAGGATGAGGTTCTATTATTTGCGCTACTAGCTTCTCCCACCACTGATTTTACTAACCTATCTTGTGTACTAGCTTCGTGTGGCGTAAATAGTATCCGATCGGATACTATGCCGTGACGACACGTTTTGTTTTGCCAACCGCTGACCACGTGTTTCTGAGACAAAACTGTTTACGTCTGTCATGCCGAAACTGAGTATCGTAATTAATTCAAAATTAACACAATTGTACCGTGAAGAGGGAAACCCCACAATTCCATAGTATAAAGATATATCTCTGCATGATTGATGACGATGATGTGTGGGAAATTATAAATAATCTACTTAGAAGTCAAGCAATAGCGTTTGTTTTACGAAAGCTCTTCATTATTATCCATAGACGTATTGTTACCTTAGTCACTGCAATGATACTGGTTTAAAACTTACTGGCGCCATGTAAAACTTTCCAGCATGTACAAAGTCAGGATAGAGTTTACTAGCATTATCTTGCTGTCCTAGCTTGAAAAATTAGCCTCGTGTATTCCGGGTGGGATTGATTCAATGACTTAGCTAGCTGACCCCATTGACCGTCTCATTGGTTCTGTAGTGGTATTAAACAAAGAAAATTTTACCTGTGAACCGTAAAATTCATTTTGCTATGACTTCCTTATTACATCACTAGTGAATGACGTTACAAGGAACTTTTGAAGCTAATTTTATCTTTAATTAAATTGTATAAATGCAAGTTTCAATCAAAAAGCCGGAATCTGTTGAAGGCGTCAGATGGCTTTCAGAATCGACTTGAGCGTCAGGAGTCTATGAGCTATCGACATAGCTCTCGCGAATATTTGGTTTATTAACAACATTTATTTCTCTTTGTTACAGATTTTCAAACATGACTATCAACTGAAAAAGCTACACCCCAACATGGAGACGAAAGTTCCTACAAACCACTGCACAGGTTTTGATAAAACAAATATGGATCGGATACCATCACTTGAAGATTTAGAAAACAAACGAAAAAAGGAAAAGATAAAAGATATACAAAGAAAAGATAGTTATCTTTATAAAAGTTTTGTTTACAAAGACGATTTACAAAGAAGTTTGAAAAAAGAATATGGAATATACAATTATTGCCTTATTAGTGTATGCATAAGTTTTATTTTAGGTTTAATAATAGGTGTTGTATTAATGGGGACAACGCAGTCACAAATAATTAAAGTTAATTCAGTTCCCAAGAAGATCGTCAATGAATCTGGGCTGTCTAGAACATTAAATTCATTAAAATTTGATATAAAAGGCAATGAAATTACAAAAGAGAACAAAAGATATGTATCCGTATCTTTTACTGGAGAAAAAGATCACAAGTTTAAAAAAGATATTTATCCAAAAAGTTTAACTGAAGATATGAAAAATATCTTAAAAGATAACAAAGAAGATTTTAAGCACAGTTTAAATTTCAATAAAACGTTTTTGGTCAATGAGAAAACTGTTCTTTATGGTAATGTTTTCTGGGGGCCTGAAGTAGAAGACGCAATGCCGCAAGGGTATGGACCTTCAACTACTGCTATATGGGAAAGTTATACCAACCAGAGTGAAGTTGTAAAGATGGAGTCGGGATGTGGCAGAATGCAAAATCGTTTAGTCACTTTCAAAGATGGCATCCAAGCCTGTGTCAGATACAGACAAAATACTGACCAAATCCAGGGAGAAATTTTCTCCTTTTACGTAGCTAAATTGATGAACATAACGAATCTTGCGCCTTCTGTTGTCAAAGTTGTTGATTTAAAAGATAAACTTTGGCAGAACGTCGCAAATGAAGTTTCAACTGCCCAATGGTACAGTAATAGAGCTGTGGTTTTAACACAATATATTCCCAGTTTAGAATCAGCGACTATACCCGACATTTTCAAACCAAGCAACCGACATTTGAATAAATATGATATCTTAAAAATGTCTTTAAAGGAAAGCGAATCAACAGATATACTAATAGATAAATTAAAAGATAAAAAGATGAAAAAGAAAAAGGAACGCAATTTTGATCATATAGATTTGAAATTGAATAAGAAAACGATTGATAAGTTCGTAGAATTAGCGCAGTGGTCAGATTTAATCATATTTGACTATTTAACTGCAAATTTGGACAGAATTGTGAATAATTTATTTAATTTTCAATGGAATATAAACATAATGGATGGTCCTGCGCATAATTTGGCTAGAAAAATGGACAGTGGTCTCCTGCTTTTTTTAGACAACGAATCAGGGTTACTTCACGGCTACAGATTGCTGAAGAAATACAATGTTTATCATAGTTTAATGTTGGATAATCTGTGTGTGTTCAGAAAGACGACTATAAGTGCTTTAAAAGAACTATTTGAAACGCAAACAGTTGGTGCAAAGCTCAGTTTAATGTTTCATGAAAAAAATAATGCTGTAATTAGAGATATATTACCGCCATTACCGGAGAAGAATATTAAAATTTTGCATGAGAGAATAGGTAAAGTTTTAAGTCAGGTTGAGAAATGTGAACAAAATTTTTCCGTTAAAGGCTGATCTAGAGAGTTAGAATACCAGCGTAGTGTAATAAGACAAATAGGGTAACTTCATACAACGGTAACAGCGCGCCTTGTATGTGTGCACCGCACGCCGTGTAAGGACGCACACATTTGCATAATCTCGCAGTGCACTCGCGTTGAATAGCGCAGGTCGCACGCGCCATCATTATAGATTTAAAGTGTTCACTCGGAGTTTAAAATTTATATTTTTTTTATTTATAAATATATCGTTATGTACCCGATAATGTTACATATAGGGTAATTTGTAAAATACTAAGAACCTCGCAAGACTATACACATACATATTACACGAAGACATAATGAATTAAAACTGGTTGTCTGTAAGGCTACCTTCTTTCATGATAGTATTTGTGCCAGATAACCGTTTTACACAGCAAAAAATAGAGCACACAATAATCTTTTAAAAACAGTTAAAATTAGTTCACGTGTTCGACTTTCATTATTGTTTAGAATTTCAGTATTCTAAAACTGGATTATGGTTTTTATGATATCTTAAAAGAATATTGTGTTAGCGGACGACAGTAAACAATATAAGCTGCCTAACTATATACTTCAGACTAACGACAATGCCATGAAAGCATATAATAAAGTCAGCGATTACCTAAATGACAAGAACATAGAATAACAGTTAATTACCACAAAATAATGACATTAATGCAATTAAGAATTAAAATTAAAATTAAGATTTGACATTTTATAATTGAAACTGAGTATATACTCTTTATTGTATGCCGTAAAATTGGCAATACGTACTGACACTACAATGTTAAATAATACATGATAAATACATTATTTGACTTGATTTGACTATAATATTACTAAGATCACAAACAACAACTTATGTTTTAACAACTAATTTTTCACATTTTACTTTCATACTAAATTAAAATATTTCAATAGATCGCTCCAAACAGTGAAACGTCTATGCAAAACGCAGGAGTGCGGGTGTCGTTGAGCAGGACACTTGCTCTTTAGAACTTACTACTATACTAACAGATCGATATCTCTTTCTTTCTTGAATTTCATTGTTTTGTCATTTTCTGTTATTTTTGTTAACAGCCATATTTATTTACTAATATTACGCTCCCCGAATTTTGTGGAAAAAAAGAAACAATAAACAAAATTGGAAAAAAACAAAACACTAATTTCTGAAAAAAAAAAACAAAGACACAAAGAACAAAATAAAAACTGAACAGGTACAAAAATTAACTTGGCGTAATGTTCCTAGAGGTATCGAGATACAAATCAAAATAGTGTCAGATAGTAAAACAAAAACTTTTAAGTTTATGTTTGGTAAATTTAGTATGTTTTATGAAAAGTTATGGAGCAAAAGTTTTTGTTTCTGACATTAGTACTATAGTCTTGTGAGGTTGTTAGTGTTCTACAAATAACCATGTGTAAGTACTGTATTTAACAAAGGCTAACATGAGATATATTGTGATGAATACCTTAATTTTTTCAAATTGTATTTTACAACATGTGATGACAACCCTATGCTGCGAGTGAACGTGTAGGTATTGACCGAACAGGCGGGAGTTACACTAGTTGTCTTATTACACTATCATACCAAAATATTACACAGCTTTAGAAAAATAGCATCGGCCATAATCGGCTATCTTCGGATTTGTAGAGCGCCATTTCCGTTGCGTAAAAGTACGTTCCCATTATGTCGTGACTGCAGATAGTATAAGGCCTCGTTCCCACAATGCCGGACCGGCGAATTTGCCGGGTTGGTAAAACTGCCGAAAAGGCTGTGCAATTTAGATGAAGCTATTCACATATCGCATTGTTGCCGGAGCGTTTGTCATTGCGGACCGCCGGCAGCGGCAGTACCCGAGTAAAGTGAACGAACTCGCTCAGATTTGCTCCGGTATCCCCGCTCGACCCACCTGTACTCCCTGCGTGTCTTTTTGGTGTTCATCCAGAGAGGATGCTGTCATTCGAAAATAATTAGAAGAACTTTATTTCTCAGTTGGCCCATTAATGTTTCAAAAGTTCATAGTGAAAATCTTTCCAGTAAAATAGGATGTACTCAATGATTTTTTTTACGTTATCAAGCCTTCAAAGATACCACCACAACACCACAATTTCGTCGTCCATCGTGCGCAGTGGTCTGCATTCGACTGAGGTGAGGAATTTAGTCTCCGGTTTTCTTGCGAGATCCGGCTTAATGTGAACACCTAGTCCGAGTGCAGGTTTACCGGCAAATCCGCCGGTCTAACTATGCCGATAGTGGGAACGAGGTCTAATATATGGGAACAAGCTAGACGCGACAGTCGTCCAACGATAAATAAATCGTTACGACATAATGTTTTCAGTTTCTTATTTATTTTTCACCTGTTTAAGCCAATATATATCTATAGCCAATGGTCAATAAATAAATTGATGTTTCGACAATAATGTCACACAGATATGAGTGACAGAGACAACGCTCTACAAAGTTAGCCGACCGTCTTTTTCTAAACCTTAACGTCTAATATATACGACTTGGTACTGTAGTTTTAAGCTACTTGACTCTAGAAATGTGCTAGATGAAAATTGGCCATAGTCAAAACAGAATTTGTCGGTCTTAACATTGCTAGTTTTTTTAAAAAACAGTCGCATTGATGGAAACACATTTTAATGTTGCCATTTAGAAAGTACTAAGTAAATTTAATTGCCATTTTTTTATTAAATTTTTGCGGTCGGCCATATTGAATTTTTATAGGCTGTATTTTTTTTTAATGCGAACACGACTGAAGTGATATTAATTTGTATTCTTGTTTTAGGATAAGCATTTCTCGATACCAAATAATTTTTATTTATTGTAAAAAAGTAACTAGAATTAATTAATTATTATTTGTGCCAGTGCTTTTTTTATCAATTTGCGAAGTGATATTGAAAAAGATGTTTGTAATTTTGATTTAGTTTTTGTATTATATTTATATTTTTGTTTCTATTTAAAAGGCGTATCCTTGTTATTACTCTGATATACTTTTAAAATTGGACATTTGTGCACATTTGCTATTTACAATATTTATTTCAAATATAGAATTAGCTACACGGGTCCACTACCTATGGATTTATGTCATGCAAGTACGCAGAAATTATATAAATAACTTTACTCTAAAGTGTTTTTGCCACTATAGTTTTAAACCTAATTTTGATATCAACCGTCGTATTAAAATATTGATATTGGTGGAGGAAGCAAAAAAGGTTTGTCAGAAAAGATATCCCACTGTAAAATGTTCCAATTTCACATTAAATTATAAGTTTTTTATTAAAAATAAAAAAACGGACCTCAAAAGTTTATCGGCTTTTTTAAATCGGATTCACCTATAGTTTGCCACCCTTAGAGGTGGAATATTTTTTCAAATTTAAATTGGACCAATACAGAGGTACCCTCTTTCCAACAAAAAAAATCATCAAAATTGGTTTACATAACCTACTCATCACCTGAGGGGTAATTGGTAAAAACGATGAGACATTATTTATTTGAACGGTGACGAAAGGTGGAAAGGTGGACTTAGTGCACAAGCGACATCCAAACTGGGTCTGAGTTTTCTAGATTTGTATGGTCTCGGATTCGGAAGGAATGTGAATCGGATGCAGCGCATAAACGCGTTTATTTTCGCATTTGTATTAGTTTCGATTTGGAACACCCTATTCCGACCATTGCTTATGATATCACTTACGATTTTAATCAAAATTGAGCATGATTTGTATAGATCACAATCTTCACCGATAGCTTCACAAGTTCATCAAAGTTGTGAAGCGTTTTCAACATGCAGGTTCTATCACGAAGTTTATCTTCATCGTTAGCTATAGATACTGTACAAAGTTAAGAATCGACACCAATGTATAATCGATTTATTACGCCTTTAGCTTTAAACAAATGTATGTAAATATATGTAAATTTTAATGTAAAAAGCTCTACTTATAATAAATAAATGTACTTTGAAAGCTCACGTGCATTGTCATTTATATTAGTTAACGCATGTTTTATTAATTGTTAAGGAGATGTTCCTTTTTGTTTATAAAGGCGTACAGTCGAAAACACAGTGAGTTTGAAAACTTTGAAACCTCGTTCTTGTTATGAACGACATAGAGTTGATTTTCACCCTTAATCATTATTATCATCATATCTGCCGGAAGACGTCCACTGCTGAACATAGGCCTCCCCCAAAGATTTCCAGACTAGCCGATCGGACGCGACGTGCATACATCGGTTACGCTTACCAGGTCATTCGTCCCTCTAGTAGACGGCCATCCCACTGAACGCCTTCCGGTTCGTGGTCTCCAGTAGAGAACCTTTCTGCCCCAACGGCCGTCAGTTCTACGAGCTATTTGTCCCGCCCACTGCCACTTAGCGATGGAACGAGTTGTATTTTTTTCTACTCGAGTTGACGTGAATGCTGACTCGAGTTACAAGTCGAGTTAACTCGACTTGGTGCCTGAGAGAGCAACCGCGAGTCGCGAATAGAACTCGAACCGACGATTAACAGAGTTGCTCCGAAGGTCGCCGAACCGACGTGTCTCGTGTTCACAAAACTTAGCTCGAGTTGACTCGTTGTGGGAGTAACTCGAGTTAAATAACTCGGCTCGCCCATTGGTCGCGAAGGTCTCTGACGCACTATATGAATGAAGTATTTGACTCGGCGGGGCGGGCTACGT